GGATAAACAATCTTATCTCTATTTTTTTTTCGAGAATCCTCGTATAGATGTCATGCAGAAATAACAATCATTCTCATCATTGGCATTGAAAACGGCATGGATTTGGGACTTTCTTCAAGCCAACCTCTCAACGTTCTTGAGCAGCTATTGCAGCACACTTTTGGCAACCAACTTTTATCTCGCTCATCGATAGAAAATCCAAAATATAGCTGAGAAGCTGTTTTAACCAGATTTTTACAAGTCCGTGGCATTTTGTAACCTAAAATCACATAAAATTAATTTTAAAACAACTTTCAAACTTCTATTTTATATTTATTGACTCTACTTAAAAAAAAATACTCAAACTACACATCAAATACTTAAATCCAATGTAGAGCACATGAACTTTATGCAAAACTTACCAAAATATTTGATATAAAAGGTAAACAATTAAACGACAAGTTTTCACTGAACTGTTGTAGTGTCACAATGAATACTGCGCATGCGCGTATTTACTACCATAAAAATCATCTTCGGCACTTCCCTCGTTTCTCTTACAACTCTCTGAAACTCATTTTGTATGTATATTTACTTTTTGTAACATTGACGAATGAAAAAATTGAAAAAAAAAAACAAAATTTTGAAAGATAAAAAAAATCATATCGAAAAATCTAGACGTGATAGAAAAAATCGGCCAAAGGGGATAGATTCAAAACATTTGAATCATTATATTCATCATAAAAAATTTTAAAGGAGGATTTCATTGCCAACCAGTGTTATACACCGATCTAGAGTGCGGAAAGCGCCATTTTCCCACGGGTTCAAGCCTCTTCGAACATTTCCGGGATATTACCGGGTTTGGAACCAATCGGATGTTTTTGGAGATTTTAAGATCCGGCTTGAATTTTGACGTTGAACAATTCTGATGGTCATGTCAGTGAATGTATTCGTGCTGTGTGACAAAAATGTCCCAAACACTAACGGCTGCATGCGCTCCGTTCGTGTCAAATAATAAATGACGGTTACCGCACTTATTGCATAATATACTATTACCACACTAGTTGCATAATGTACTAATTCTCTAGTCCCTTCTGTTAAATACCTAATTATATACCGATCTCGACTGCGGAAAGTGTGACTTTACCACCCGAGTTTCTTATTCCACCGATTCGAGTCACTCCGGATATTTCCGGGATATTACCGCCAGAGTTTGGGAGCAGTCGGATGTGTTCGGAGATTTTACCTCACGGCTTCAATTTTAACGTTTGTCATTTCTGATGGTAATGTCAGTTAGTATTCGTCAGTATTCGTGTTGCTTTGGAAAAATGTACCCAAAAACTAAGGTCGTAGATAAAGTATAGTATGCAACATTTTTGTTAAACTTTACTAATGCCGTTTACCACACTTATTGCATAATTTACGATTAATTTATAATTAATAAATAGAGGCCTACTTTTTGACATAAGAATCTAACAAGTTATCTTTTGACCACTTTGATAAATTATTAACATCCCCTTGCAAGATCCTGCAGTCATTTCCGCATACAGCAAGATATAATTAATGGTTTAACACTTTGTTCTACGGCATCATACTTATGATGTAACAAAAAATGAATCAGTATTATTCCATTCAACTGAGATACAGTGTGCATTCCATTTGTTAAATTGGAGGGCAATAGGAAGCACTAGTCTTTAGATAAGGAAAATTCACTTGGTGTTGATGCTATAGTTATATGGGAAAGCTGTTTCAAGGGCCGTAAATCTAGTAAGATGTCATGACATTTGTAAGAAATTTTGTAAAATCTATTAGATTTCCCACTGTACATCCGCGTTCTCAGAAACTATATTGAAAATCAGATAGCTCTTGCTTTATGTGGCCGCTTAACCCATTAGTTAAAATGTCCGCGAAAAAAATTGCAATGTTAGATAAAACAGATAGGGTGATTTCTAAACCAAAACAAAAAACTTTCCTACCGTGCCGCTAATATTTTAAAATATTTAACTTTACATATATCGTTAATATCAAAAATTGCAATAACACAAAAGCCAATACCTCCATAAATAAAGCGAAATATTTCCACACGCGATAACTGTCAAGATTTCGGTGCCAGGCCTAAAACGTGCTCTCTATTGATTGCCTGTCTTGCATTGTCAACAGTATTCTCCTGCCAATTAGACTAAACGCTCCTTTTTTCAGAATAATTCTATAAAATGGAAAATTTGTGCGCTCCATTTTCGCTGGTGTGGATATATTAATTTATCCCCTAGTACGTGGTAAGAAACAGGACAACATTGATTCGCTAGTGTTCGAAATATTTAGAATGTGTGCTACGAGTTTTGTGAACGTTGGGTAAGCATTAATGATGAAGTACCATCTTTACTCTTAACTAAACTTTGAAAGAATTCTTTACGTATAATCAAATTTGTGTTTTCCTTTTTGTAAAATTGCAATAACAAACTAAGACTTATCAAAATGGAAATATAGCACCAATGATTATCTAGTGTCGACATCTTTAAAATATGTGCTGCGAATTTTGCGGACGTTGGGTAAGCTTTGATCATAAGGTTCCATCTCCACTCTTAACTAAACTCAAGAAGAAATATTAATAAGGTTTCGAAAAATCAATACCACAATAGTACAATATAGAGCACTGGGAATGAAATATAGAAGTTAGCATATCCACGGAAGCATTTAAGAATGCTTGTGAGTGGATTCACTAGCTATAAAAAAAATAGCTTAACAGATAGGGAGTTCAGAGACCTATGGCACAAATATAAATTTGTACTTATCTATTTTAAGTAGTTCAAGTCAATAAGATTATTTAAAAGCTTTCGATTAGTCACAATTATCCATTGTTGTGTTTTGTAATTAATTTAGTTTCTAGTAGATGTACAACATACTGCTAGAATGTTGTAACATCTGGGTGAATACTATATATAAGAATGCTGTCCGTGTGTTTTTTGAGTAGCAGTAGGATACATGACACTCTTTCTCGTATTGCAAATGTGCTTATTATAATTTAACAAAATTTTAACTGTTTTTATATCGTTTAATACGGATAGACAATACACTGCCATATATTCAATAATATTTTTATAAACAATTTTTGCAGAGTCATAAGATTTTTAATATGGTTTTCCTGAACTCCACCGCAGCCCAGGAAGCCGTATGATATGCGCGTGTCTATCAAGGAAGTATACACAATTTTATTAAGAAATGTCTTGAATACTAAAATATAGACAGTAACCCTCTAAATTTATCAATTATATTTCGAATGTGTAAATCCCATCTAAGGAAACTGTATCTAGTAATAAAGAGATATTTTCTAGATTACGTTTCAGGGGTTGTAATCCAATCATTCACTGTTAAGTTATCATAATTTGGCAGATTGATTTTTATATGACGAAAAATTAAAAAAAAATCGTCAAAATTTAGGGTCAGTTTGTTGTGTTGGAACCAGTTTTTGAAAATTATGATATCCAATTCAATCAAAAGTTTAAGTTATCTCTACGAAACTGCCTTATATGGCACCGTATAATCGGCATAACTAATTATGATACTGTTTGTTTTTAGTTGTAACCATATCATTTATATATAAGGTAAATAAATAATTTTAATAATTTTTTAGTAAATTGAAAATTTCTCTGACGTATTATTGTATTTTTTCAAATAACTTAGTATGGCACACTTTCGAATGTCTTGGATAAATCCACAAAAAGCACACAGAGTAGATTAAATTCCTTTGAAATTTGTTCTATGCCTTTAACCAGAATATCGTTGTCGTTTATTATGTAATCAATTTTATTTTTATGTTTCTTACTATTTGGGTAAATTTTATTAACACAGTTCCGTGTAGCTAAGCAAGAATCTTAATTCTATTTATTTCCTTTTGGATGTAAATATGTTTAACATTTTTTATTAGATACTTAAGTTTGTCTTTATATGCATTATACTTTTGTTTTGCAGAATGGGGATTTCAATTTTTTATCAGAATTTTATATAGCTTAGTTTCTTCTGAATCTGACTTTAATAATCCTGTTGTGATCAAACTTTTTCTTTAAATTTATTTTGATTCAACTTTATGTTTAAACATTTGCATAACAATAATTCAATTATTGATTTATTTATTGATCCCAAAAGGCATAGTAAGAGCAATCGGATAGTGATCTGAAACATAACATTTAAATCAACCTGATTTTATAACACATCGTAACTATTTAAATCATCGATCTAAATCGACCTACTAAAACGGTAAAATCGAATACTTCGTCAACGCTTTTTGAGAACAGACAAAATTCTTCATAATTTATACTCAGACTGCATATAATTAAATGTATTATTTTTAAATCTGAATCACCGAAACAAAAAATTTTAGTTTTGGTTTTGGTTTTTGTTTAATTTTTGTCAATATTTATAGTGGTAGTCGTTGCCTCGTTTGACTATAGGACATTAAGCTATGAGTTTTTTTTTCTCTTGTTGATGTTTTCTCTAAATGGATCCTGTACCGCACAAATACCTCATTGTTTCACTGTTCTCCATCCCACATGAAGATTTGGGGCTGGGTTCACTGTTGATGGAGGAAATAATTGATACATGTTTTCTTCCGATTCCTGAAAACTTTCCTTATGACCACCATTTAAAGTTCCAGCATTGTGGCGATATTTAGCACTTGGTCGCATGTCAGCAGAAAATTTAAAGATGACTGTCCCCTTTTGTCTGTTTTCTTTTCACTTAAATTAAAGTAGTTATTCAGATCGGTTTAGAATTAGTTTACTTCCACAGTCTTTTTTTACTTACTAACCACAACAAATAGCAAAAACGGATACTTCTTGCCCATCTATTGTCGAAATCTTTAGATCGTGTGCTACGAGTGTTGAAAACGTTGGGATGAAGTTCCATATCCAATAATAACTAAATTCAGAAAAGAATCGTCACCGAAAATTAAATATGTCTATTCCTTTTTGTAAAATTGCAAGTGGAACCTTGAAAGGCAACTGAGTTTTGAAGTATTCCACTTTTAGATGGACGAGCAGGAAGTAGACGTTACCACTTCCCTGCGAAGCGAACTCGCCGCCTTGCAGTACAAAAGGGACCGGTTGACCGCGGACTTGGAAGAAATGAGGTCCCAAGTGAGATCTCGCGATCAGAGGTGCCTGGAACTGCAGGTAGAAGCCGACCAGCTTCGGGAACAGGTCGCGAGGCAGAGCGCCGTCATAAGCTCGCTAAAGAAAAGGGTGCACGAATTGGAGGAACGTGAAAGGAATCTATTTGCCGCGCAAGGGAGAAACGAGCTGGCTCTACAAACTGCCCAACGCGACGTCAGATACAACGAGGAGAAAGTAAAGGAGTTAGAAAGTAAAGCTAGAAATCTGGAAATTCAGCTTAACTCGGAAGAACAGAAGAAAGATGCCGCGAGAATTCAGTTCCAGGACTTCGTGAGGCGGTTATCAGTGGCGCTCGGCGGCGACGTCATCGACGGGACCACCATATCGCCGGACATGTTGGTACACAAAGCATCCGAATTAGTACAAGTAAGTTTAAATGCGCCATCCGGTTAAAGCTTTTATACGATTTCTGCTAGGAGACGTCAAGACTACGAAGCAAAGCTCACAACATAAACGACACCTTGGGTTCTGTTGAACTTGAACTGAGAACTTGCAGGGAAACTTTGGAGCGGTCGATATCGGATAAGGAATGCCTTCAGAGACAGTCCGCTTCCCAAATATTGGAGATAGACCGCTTGCAACAGGACAAGGACGCCCTCGAAATGCAATACCGCGTGACCGAAAGGGAATTGATGGATCTGAAGGAGAAACTGACCTCTTCCAACAGAAGCTTAGGTTCGGCTAGTGGTAGTATCGCTCAACAAGAAGCATTAATTTGTCAATTGAGAGGTACGTTAATACTTTTCGTTTGGGCATGCATATAAGAATCTCTTGTAGATGAGATCAAACTTAAAGACGACAAGATTCAAAGGCTTCAATCGGAACAAAAGCACATGCTCGAAACTTTGGCCGTTAAATTAAGCACCCCATCAAGGTTTGTGGAGTCGATCGAGGTTTCCATAAAGGACCGAATTCAAGAACTGATCGCTGAGAATCATGATAAGAGCGCCGTAAGGGTTAGGCTTTACTAACGGCATTTCGAGTACACTTTAAATAATTATAGCAAATCGAAAACCTTAAAGAGAAACTTCACCAAGAGGGTCAGCAGTTATCGAGAGAGGTGTCGCTCTACGATCAAGCCAACGCGAAAATTCGGAACTTGGAGAACGATAAAAATCATTTGGAGGCGCGCCTCCACAAAGCCGAAGCCGAGATTAACGCTTGTGAACTGTGTCGAGACGGCTTGAAGAGAGATAAAATTACGGTATGGTGGTTTTACAGACAAATTGTTTTGGCTTATTATTATCCGAAATAAGGTTAAATACCCTTTTGACTCAGAAACTACAAACGATAAAAAAAATTATATAGAGAACATAAACAGAAATTTTAAATAAATTACACGATGATATTCTTAAGCTAATTGCAAAATAGACACAAAGATTTCCCTTCCCTCAAACTTTTCAGTATAAGCATAAAAACTAACTTTGGGTTTGGAAAATGTACCCATGCATGCATGTACTAAAAAAGAGAAACTACCAAACAATTATTGATTATTGGAGGTACTGTAGAACTAGCTCTAGATAAAAGTTACAAATACCTAGGGTTTTTTTACGTAGCCGATTAGAGGCAGGGTGGCCTCTAAAGAGGAATGATACTCAATATTGCAGTAAGACATGAGAGAACAATGTACGATGATATTTGAATCTTTATTTGAATACAATTCAAAACTCCAAAAGTGTAATCGTAAGCCCAAAGCCGGCTATATATTAAAAATCAATTGTATATCTTAACAAAAATTGAGTTTGCCAATGTGAACATCATGCAGATCCGCTATATAAATAATAAATAATAGGGGTTCCAATACTGACCCCTGCGGAACTTGATATGATTGCAGAAAATATTATTTCATCGATTATAATAATATATAATATAGGTGGAAATCAACAGTCCACGATTAACGGTAATGTACTCCTTTGTTAAAAATCTAGTAAAACCAGAGCTGGCTCCAGATTTGTCAGTTGCACTCAATATTTTCTCACACAAGTTCAATAGACAAAATAGGCAACTAGTTCATTAATTTTTGTGTCCAGATGTATAAGAGTTCTTGGAAATAGCTCCATTCCCTCAAAGCTGGGAAAATGACGGTTTTCATGACAAATGCATTTTTCCATTGGTGGCATGCATAGCTTCAATGTGATTTCATCCACCTACATAGCCTCTGATTTTATTGTGCGATTTCGGTAATATGAGAAATTTCAATGAGGTTAAAAGAAAAATTCAATACATTCTCTGTTCTCAACAAGGATGATTTCTTCTAGATTGTCTAAATTTGGTTATACTTCTACAGTTCTCTTATTTTTATGAACGTTCAAGTCTTTTAAATATCATGTTGCCTTGAATTTCGAATTATGTATATTAATTCTTAAGCCTTACGAAATTACCTGAAAGCTTGTTTTGTGCATTGAAATAACGCTACTGTAGGAAATGTTAGGTAGAAGAAAATCCTTGAACCACAGTTCAGTTCTGTAGTTGTATCAAGTAGGAGTCACCGCATGGCTCTTTAATTTTTTTCAAAGCTAAGCCACAAAGCATTTGGGATTAAACCTTTTCCTGACACAGCACCTCAAACGGTTCCAGGTAGATTTTATCACTAAAAAAACAAGAATATTGTTTGTCGCCAACTTTCAATTTTCCTTTTCCTATTCCTTCTGGTGTAATACAAAAACATTCATCACACATCATTCACATACTTTTAGATTTTCCTATACATGAACGGGAGGGAATAAATTCGACAACGGTAATCTCTACCTGTATATATATATATATATATATATTCTCACGTATTGATTCACGGATGGAAAAATGTGATGACACTATATTCCGGGATATCATCCGTTCGCTCGTTGAACTCCGACTGGAATCCTGCATCCGACTGGAATCCTGCAAATCTTGCATCCGACTGGAATCCTGCAGACGTTTCGCCAAAATCTCACTTGGCATCTTCAATGCTCGCGCTCCGAAAACACTTCGAACACTGGGAGGTTATCGGCGGTGCGTGCGGTATTTATACTCTGCGCCGGAGATGGTAACGGTGCTGCTTGTGCGTGGGGGGAGGTGGCTCCGCCCCCTGAATTGTCGCGTTGTTAATTTCGCCCGATCGTAGTTGCGATGTCCCCGTTGGCTGCTGCGCATCGCTCTGCTGTTTGATTATCGTTCTCCACGTGTTGGATAAATGCAGAGCGTCGTCTCTCGTATTGAGGTGTCCGGACTTTTCTATTTCGATGGCCTCTCGTATAATCCTAGTCCTAAAATCAGGAATATTAGCTATTTGTTTGCAAGTGCCGAAATCAATTTTATGGCCTGTCTGATGTTGGTGCTGAAACAAAGCAGATGTTGTTTGTTTGTTTCTTATGGCTAAACGATGTTCCTCGAGCCTGGCTGAAATCCTTCTGTTGGTCTGTCCCACATACGTCAGGCTGCACGATCCGCATGCTACACTGTATACTCCTTGGTTTTCCAGAGTAATTTTTTGTTTTGGGTTTCTTAGTATTGCTCCGATGGTATGGTCAGGTTTGTATGCCGTTGATATGTCGTGTTTCCGTAATATTCGGCCGATTTTGTCAGTAACCCCCTTGATGTATGGCAGGACAGCGATCGATCTTCGTTGGGTCTCGTCCTGCACTCTCTGCTGCGGCTGTTGTTGTTTACTGATTGCCTTGCTGATGGTGCGCCTTTGGTATCCGTTTTGTTGAAGACAGGTACTAATTTTCTTCAGTTCTTTATCTCTGTTCCTCTCGTTTGTGAGCCTGAAGGACCGAGCAATTAATGTATTTGCCACTGCCTGTATCTGTGATGGGTGGTGATGAGATTTAGCGTTCAGATATCTATTAGTGTGTGTTGGTTTTCTATAGACAGTGTGTTCCAAGTGTCCATCTTCGGTCCTTGTGATGTGCACATCTAAAAAGGGCAGACTGTTATCCTCTTCAAGTTCTATTGTAAATTGAATCCTTGGGTGAATGGAATTCAGATGATCTAGGAATTTCAAAAGCTCCTCCTTGCCAAAAGGCCATACAACAAATACGTCATCAACGTATCTTGTCCATAGTTTTGGCTTCAGATTTGCCTTCTCTATTGCTTTCTTTTCGAAGTAAATCATGAAGAGGTTGGCAATCACAGGTGAGAGAGATGATCCCATTGCTGCTCCATCTATTTGTCGGTAAATTTTCCCGTTGTGCATAAAGTAAGCGTTTTTCAGGCAATGTCTTGACAGATCCATTATGTATGGCGGAAGATCTTCGTTTTCTTCTATAAGCAAGAGTGCCTCTTCTACTGGAATACTCGGGTAGAGGGATTTGACATCGAAACTTGCCATAATGTCGTCCTTGTCCATCCTGAGAGAACCTAAAATCTGAGTGAAATGTTCTGAGTTTTTAACATAGGAATCTGCCTTTTCCACTATAGGCTGAAGTGCACTGGCCAGATGTTTTTCCAGCTTGCATAATGGTGAGTTAAAGGCGCTTACGATTGGACGCAGGGGAACCCCGTCCTTATGGATCTTTGGGAGCCCGTAGAATTTTGGGCAACGACTCGATTTTTCCCTCGGAATAAGTTTCTTCTTTGTATCCTCGTTTATTGATGAATCGAGAATTTTGGACTTAGTTGTTTTTTCCAAATATGTCGTGGGATCTCTGGTGACTGGTTTGTATATTGGGTCGTTCAAAATATCCTCCAATTTTGCATTATAATCCGACGTATTCATGACGACAGTGGCATTTCCTTTGTCTGCTGGCATTATTAGAATGTTTTCGTTTTTGTTTAGATTCCTTAAGGCTTGCATTTCTTCTCTGCTTAAGTTTGGTTGCGGTGGTTTTGACTGTCTTAAGACTCTGGCGACATCTTGCCTAATTAACTCCGCATCTTGTTCGTCTATGGTGGAAAGACTTGCTTCGACGTTGGAAACGATCTCTTCGACGGGTACTCTTTTTGGAGCTATTGCGTAGTTAAATCCTTTATTCAGTACGCTGACTTCTGTATCGGAAAGATGGTATGCTGAAATATTATGAACTGTACTGCTTCGGTTTGTATTTGGCACTTGTCCTGATTTTTTGGAATTTGACTGAAGGATTTCTAATTTCTTCCACAGTTTTTTTGACGTGATGTCCTTGTCTTTCTCAGTGCGCCATGATGTTAATAATTCTATGCGGTCCCACAGCAACTGATGGATCTTGTTGCTCAGTTTCAGGTGGAGTCTGAAAAGTTGTAGCTCAGTCTCACTAATTTCGTACCGGGTCCGCCTGATCTGGTCTTGGAGTAGGGCCTTGCTAGCTTTGTCCAGGATAGCTTGTGTCTTTCTGGTGCGTGTATGATAAGACAACCTTGTAAATGTTGGCAGCAAGTTCTGGTTGCGGCAGTTTTTAAGAAAATTCAAGTTGCAACCAGAACTTGCTGCCAACATTTACAAGGTTGTCTTATCATACACGCACCAGAAAGACACAAGCTATCCTGGACAAAGCTAGCAAGGCCCTACTCCAAGACCAGATCAGGCGGACCCGGTACGAAATTAGTGAGACTGAGCTACAACTTTTCAGACTCCACCTGAAACTGAGCAACAAGATCCATCAGTTGCTGTGGGACCGCATAGAATTATTAACATCATGGCGCACTGAGAAAGACAAGGACATCACGTCAAAAAAACTGTGGAAGAAATTAGAAATCCTTCAGTCAAATTCCAAAAAATCAGGACAAGTGCCAAATACAAACCGAAGCAGTACAGTTCATAATATTTCAGCATACCATCTTTCCGATACAGAAGTCAGCGTACTGAATAAAGGATTTAACTACGCAATAGCTCCAAAAAGAGTACCCGTCGAAGAGATCGTTTCCAACGTCGAAGCAAGTCTTTCCACCATAGACGAACAAGATGCGGAGTTAATTAGGCAAGATGTCGCCAGAGTCTTAAGACAGTCAAAACCACCGCAACCAAACTTAAGCAGAGAAGAAATGCAAGCCTTAAGGAATCTAAACAAAAACGAAAACATTCTAATAATGCCAGCAGACAAAGGAAATGCCACTGTCGTCATGAATACGTCGGATTATAATGCAAAATTGGAGGATATTTTGAACGACCCAATATACAAACCAGTCACCAGAGATCCCACGACATATTTGGAAAAAACAACTAAGTCCAAAATTCTCGATTCATCAATAAACGAGGATACAAAGAAGAAACTTATTCCGAGGGAAAAATCGAGTCGTTGCCCAAAATTCTACGGGCTCCCAAAGATCCATAAGGACGGGGTTCCCCTGCGTCCAATCGTAAGCGCCTTTAACTCACCATTATGCAAGCTGGAAAAACATCTGGCCAGTGCACTTCAGCCTATAGTGGAAAAGGCAGATTCCTATGTTAAAAACTCAGAACATTTCACTCAGATTTTAGGTTCTCTCAGGATGGACAAGGACGACATTATGGCAAGTTTCGATGTCAAATCCCTCTACCCGAGTATTCCAGTAGAAGAGGCACTCTTGCTTATAGAAGAAAACGAAGATCTTCCGCCATACATAATGGATCTGTCAAGACATTGCCTGAAAAACGCTTACTTTATGCACAACGGGAAAATTTACCGACAAATAGATGGAGCAGCAATGGGATCATCTCTCTCACCTGTGATTGCCAACCTCTTCATGATTTACTTCGAAAAGAAAGCAATAGAGAAGGCAAATCTGAAGCCAAAACTATGGACAAGATACGTTGATGACGTATTTGTTGTATGGCCTTTTGGCAAGGAGGAGCTTTTGAAATTCCTAGATCATCTGAATTCCATTCACCCAAGGATTCAATTTACAATAGAACTTGAAGAGGATAACAGTCTGCCCTTTTTAGATGTGCACATCACAAGGACCGAAGATGGACACTTGGAACACACTGTCTATAGAAAACCAACACACACTAATAGATATCTGAACGCTAAATCTCATCACCACCCATCACAGATACAGGCAGTGGCAAATACATTAATTGCTCGGTCCTTCAGGCTCACAAACGAGAGGAACAGAGATAAAGAACTGAAGAAAATTAGTACCTGTCTTCAACAAAACGGATACCAAAGGCGCACCATCAGCAAGGCAATCAGTAAACAACAACAGCCGCAGCAGAGAGTGCAGGACGAGACCCAACGAAGATCGATCGCTGTCCTGCCATACATCAAGGGGGTTACTGACAAAATCGGCCGAATATTACGGAAACACGACATATCAACGGCATACAAACCTGACCATACCATCGGAGCAATACTAAGAAACCCAAAACAAAAAATTACTCTGGAAAACCAAGGAGTATACAGTGTAGCATGCGGATCGTGCAGCCTGACGTATGTGGGACAGACCAACAGAAGGATTTCAGCCAGGCTCGAGGAACATCGTTTAGCCATAAGAAACAAACAAACAACATCTGCTTTGTTTCAGCACCAACATCAGACAGGCCATAAAATTGATTTCGGCACTTGCAAACAAATAGCTAATATTCCTGATTTTAGGACTAGGATTATACGAGAGGCCATCGAAATAGAAAAGTCCGGACACCTCAATACGAGAGACGACGCTCTGCATTTATCCAACACGTGGAGAACGATAATCAAACAGCAGAGCGATGCGCAGCAGCCAACGGGGACATCGCAACTACGATCGGGCGAAATTAACAACGCGACAATTCAGGGGGCGGAGCCACCTCCCCCCACGCACAAGCAGCACCGTTACCATCTCCGGCGCAGAGTATAAATACCGCACGCACCGCCGATAACCTCCCAGTGTTCGAAGTGTTTTCGGAGCGCGAGCATTGAAGATGCCAAGTGAGATTTTGGCGAAACGTCTGCAGGATTCCAGTCGGATGCAAGATTTGCAGGATTCCAGTCGGATGCAGGATTCCAGTCGGAGTTCAACGAGCGAACGGATGATATCCCGGAATATAGTGTCATCATATATATATATATATATATATATATATATATATATATATATATATATATATATATATATATATATATATATATATATATATATATATATATATATATATACATATATTTATTGGTGGGTTCTAGTAAGTTGGTGGCGGCTATCTTCAAAAAACTATCAAATACTTGGTATTCTCTGAAAACTAATCAAATTTGATGCACATATCTGATGATTGGTAGGTGATAATTTGACTAATATCACCAACGAATCCCTGTTTCACAAAATTGAATCCCTTGGTACAAGGAACAATAGCTATATCACTCACTTGCCCCCACAGCTTGAGCCAAATCTTGATCTTGCTAACCATAGCATAGTACATAGTACATAGTGAGTTAAAGAGGCACCGGCAAAGAATTCCTAAAACCTCATTAACATTATTCAAATATATTCTCTTCAACCGTTCCTGACGCTTAAAATCTTCTTTCTGTACATCTGACATATCTTTTTCAAATAGGTTGTATTATTTACTAACACATTCCTTTTTTTTTATCAAAAACAAACATGCAAAATGAGTTTTAAGGCTTACTATAAAATAGTAAATCAATTTTGTTTTGTTTGGTTATATCTTTTTCGTGTATCAGACATAAAATGTCCTGGAAAACTATTTGTTGAGTGGTTAGGTTCCTGTTCTTTATTTTAACCTACCTGACCTATAAATCTACCACCTAAAGTTAACTAAATTGCTGTTTAAAAAAGTAATAAAATGAATACTCAATAGCCCAAAATAATTAAAAGTATTAAATTTCATATCTGTATAAAAACCGCAGGTTCTAACCAAAATATTTTGTTGTTGTTCTGTAGCATATAATTTTGTCTCTCCGTAATATCATAGCTTTTGGTGCCGTTCAAAACCATTGGCGCTCAGACGTACCCGATTCTGCACTAACTACGCACGCGTTAACCCGAATATTCATGAAAATTCAAAGTTTCTCGCCAAAAGTGACTTGGAACCTGCACTGCTACACTACCCAAGCAGTCAAGTTATTTAGATGGTATAATCTTTCAAGAAGGTTTCGTTGAATTTCGTTTCGCAAAAATCTAAATTTCGTCAATGAAGACAGCTTGCGTTGATACTTCAGGGTTTTTGTTTTTCAAATTCAAAGCCTTATACCTAAAAAAGCTAAATAAAAAGGTAAATTTCTTTAATAGAATTTGTAAAACTATTGTAAATAATGTTTAATAATGATCCTAACTTTTTGATAATTTTTAGTCATTATTTAGAAAAGAATCTACGATAAGACATTAACGAGTTTGCTAAAAAAATGTGGACAATATGAAAAATCTAGTTGAATCAAACATATTAATAGTAGAGCAAAAAATTTAAAATCTAAATTTCGGCAATAAAAACAACTTTCTTTGTATTTTCAGATTTTTTGTTCTTCAAATAATTTATGACGAATTACCATCTAGTTGAAACCAAATTGGATAGGATAATTCGCATACTTTTTTATTGTTGCTATTCTTGAATTTAAAGCCTTTCCTTGCAAATTTTAGATATATTGGCGTGGTCAATATCGCAAAACTACGTCCGTTTGATATTGTCAAGGATTTTCGTGAGTGTGACATGTTCCTTAACATTCTACATGATAGATGGATAATATGGATAAGGTTTTTATTGCACTCAGTAGGCCAAAACCATTTATTGTGAAATTTATATATGAAAACACTATTACACTTGGTCTTTTAGTTCATGAATTTTTTGGAGCGCCTAGCTCGGGCGCTTCATATGGACGAGATATCCCACGACATAGGAATCGATCTTCACATGGAATCCCTTTTACTACGTGCAGAACAATTAGCCAGACTGGAAAGTGATAAGTTAGTAGATAAGGTGAGTTGTTTCCTTCTCTGCAAGGTGTGCTAAAATAAATTAAAACTGGTAGCGGTAATTATCTTGGCTATTAAGTATAGGCGGAAGAAAGTTTTTCACAAAAACAAGGAAGGACAAGAAAATTCGATTGCAGATGACCTCATGAACGACGGACAAAAGATCTAAAAAGGGAATAGTTTAAAATACAAATTTCAAATAATAAACCAAAATACAATTCCTTCAGAGAAGATTTGAGCCGATCGATATGTAATAAATAAATCAGAGACGATTTCATTTTAATGGTTTATTTTCTTTAGTTAACATTATTAAAAAAAAATTCTATCTATATGAAATGAACTGTTTTTTAAAACTTTTGAAATATGACATGAAATATTTAAAAATGGACAGACTAAATAGTAAACACCTTTATTCTGCCAATTGAACAGCTTTCTGAAGACGCCTAAGAAAGCGAGAATAAATTTTACAAGGAACCTATCAACGAGAAAACTCATGAAAAATTTGAACCACCAATATATAGCTAGCTTTTTCATACATTTTGTATTTTAGTTTTTTGCTGATAATTACTTTCATTTGCCTGGGATTATTTAAAATTTAGACTATTCGAATACACCCTATGTCTCAGAATGCTTAAGGTGATTTAAAAAAAAACTTAATTTGAACGTAGATGGTTTTCATTTATATTTTGACACCCGCTTACAAAATTTATTGAAGGGTGATTCATGGCGGATTCGCCACAATTATTTAAAGTGGCGGATCGCTTATTTGGTGAAAGAGAAGAATGTGATTTTAACTGGTTACTATTTCTATGTTTGTCCCTGTCGACGTTTTCTTTTCTACCGCGAGAATAACCTAGACAGAACGGAAGAAAGTAAGGTAACATTGAGAGCAGAAAGTCAAGCCCATCATGGGAAATAGATCAAGGTACGTCCCTCCCAGTGGATCCCTTTTATTCTGATACTAGCCCTTAGTCCGCAGCATCAATTTCGTCCATACAAAAGGGGAGCTAACCAAAACTTTTTATGCTAAAGGTGTATGATGTTTTCTTTAATACTTCTGAACGTACCACCAAACAAAAACAAAATTAACAACTTCACTTTTTTAAATGGAACACCCTATCCGATTTAAGACGAAACTCCTTTTAACCCGATTTCAAAAATATATAGTTTATCGGTATTTGGTTTAGTAATTTTTGTAATCACTCATGTTTATTATTCAAAACCATAATTTAATGATCAACATCTTTATTGCTTTGGTTAAACAAAATATTGTTTATACGTTTCAATGGCTCTCTTCCAGACATTAAAACTATTTATTTATAATACGGTATATTCGGAAGATTAACAAAAATTAAATAATTTTCCTTCTTAAATTCAAAGAATGAAAACGAAAGCAAGTTCAACGTTTTCCCGGCCAACGCACATGTTCAACGAACACAATAAAGGATATTATTTGTCCATTTGATGAGACCTAAGTTATTCAGAGAAAAACAAGATCTGTTATTGGAAATCAGTAGGAAGAATTAAACACGCTGCTATATTTTGAAGGTAAATTTTATTTTAATAGTAACAGGACAAAAGAAACGGTTTCGGTTAATTTTTATAAAATCTCCTCCATCCTCTCAATTTTTTCCAGTACAAAATTTGACCGACGAAATCGCCGTAAAACATATGCGGTAAAAAACAAGGACGTAGGTCTCTTCTTCATGTTTGGTGCGGTATATTTACTGATAAAGTTATTGGAGCAATAAATTTGTAAGTAAATTTATTGAGGTAATATGTATTTCCACTTGCAACAAAATTCAGCAATATAATAACCTGCCAACAGAATGGCAGTCCGCCACATGATGTTGCACCAGTCACGCAGTATCTCAATGAAAAATAGTTTTGGATGGGAAAAAATCAAATATAATACGAAACAATATAAATATTTTAAGACAAATAATTGAAGACGAAATATGTTTACTTAACAGAAACAATTCCGATTTTCTTTTGAGGGCAATCACAAGTAAGTTAAGAAAAAAACCTGTTCAGCTGCAGAGCAAACGATATAAATTACGTTGAAATTTTCTAAATTAATTATTATTTTCAGTTACTGTTGAACAAAAAAATTTATATAACACTTTTCTTTTCCATGGCAATGTTTGATGTTGATTATCAAATTTTACTTTTGAAAAATAACTTCAAAAATGGCTAAACCAAACTAACCAAAACTATATGTTTCTGAAATCGGGGTGAAAAGACTTTTTCATTGTAAGTAGAAATATAAATTGTTTTCCATTTGAAAAAGTGAAGTTGTTAATTTTGTATTTATTTGCGGTGCTTATTTGTTTCTATTGGTACGTTCAGAAGATAACTGATAAAAAATCATACAACTTCTGTATACAAAGTTTTTGCCTATCCTCTTTAATAAACCGTGTAGGTGGGTGTCAAAATATAAATAAAAACCCTATTTATATCTGCTTAACAGCCTAACTTTTGAGATAAATATGGCATATTTTTGAAGAAAAAAATTTATATGTCATTCACATTTTCTTAGGTGAATATTTTCTTTGGATAGTTTGATCGTTTTTTCATAAACGTCCCCCTTCCTTGTTAGATGCTCGGTTGGATTTCTTTTTTGGTTGGTGCTTAATTGGTTTTAATAATATTCAGGATGTTATTCTACATTGATTATGTACTATATTATGTTCATAGACAAAAAGTAAAATACTTAGGTAACTACAAAATTAATTATAAATATCTAATATTTTACAATGTGTCTAACGTCAAAAACACATGAAAACATATTCAAAGTGTAACGAAAAGGGACTACATTTAAAAACCAAATTAGATATTGTAAGTGGGTTAACAAAAAGTAACTAAGAGAACAACTATTCACCTTAAAAAATTTCTGATAATAAATTCATCAAAAAAATTTTTTTTAATGGCTCGTAAAAATGTAAAAAAAAACACTTATGAGACCTGGAAAAATGTCAGCTGCGTACAAACTTTTCCTTCAAATATATGCGATCGAAATAGTGGACCGACACCGTTGGTAAAAAATAGAAAAAATGTTGTGCTTCAGAAGATTTTTTTCTTTGAGTTCTTTAACTGAAAAGTGAAAACGTTTAAGATACACGATTTTATGAAGTTTTTTTCTTATAATGAGATTAACAACAACACCCTTTGAGTTTGGTCTTTGATGCTTTAGATAATTAGTTAATTTCTTCCATTGTAAATAACATTTTTAGTTATCCGCCAAATTTTAGTTTACCAAGTGATTTTTCTTTCGCTTTTGGTGTAACAAGCTGCTTTGCTGCGGATATGGAACCTTGCCGAGGCTCACTCGACGTGAGAGATCTTTTCACGATATTCCATTGTGCGATGTAAGAAACTTAAAGCTCCTATTTTAGAAAAGATCCGTACTTACAGATTTTTTACCTTTTGCACAGCCACATTCTTATTAGCCACCGCGCCATAGCGGGCTGGACTAGGTTCTAACTAGGTTGACATTTTTTTCAAATAAACGTATTAGTATTTCAAAGTTTTATTTTTCTTTTTTGGTTGGTGCTTAATTAAGATTTAATAATATTCAGGATGTTATTCCAGATTGATTGTGTACTATATTATGTTGATACACAAAAAGTAAAATACTTAGGTGACTCCAAAATTATTTATAAATATCTAATATTTTACAATGTATCTGACCTCAAAAACACGTGACAACATATTCAGGGTGTAAGAAAAAGAGACTGAAAGAGCTAGATTTAAAAACCAAATGAGATATTTTAAGTGGGTTAACAAAAATTAACTCTGATGACAACTATTCGCCTTAGATATTGGCTGATAATAAATTAATCAACGTATTTTTTTAAATACATCGTAAACATGCGAAAAAAATACACTTATAAGACCTTTCGTACCTGATTTCAACATTTCTCTCAAAAAATCGCAACGAAGCAAGGCCCAATTTATGAAAAGAAGGAATTTATAAATTAAAAAATACCTCTTTTACTTTGATACTTTGGGGTACTCTGTTAGTTATTTTCTCCAAAACAAATTAAAACTATTTTTTTGGCAGTTACCTTCTCGTTGAAATATCAATACTTTGTTTGACAGTGTCCAAAAAAATTGTATTTCAAAAACTTCTATATAAATTTATTGGCATTCAGCAAATATCAAGATAGCAACACATTGGGCTCAATTTTAATTAATCAAATATAGTTCAGGTATAGGGTGTCTCTCCTAATATTTTAGTATTCAGCTTTATATTTTCCGAAGTTGCCTTTGTCAGCCTAGTTTGGTTTAATTGCCCTCTGTGCGCGGTTACGCAACGGAATGATCAAATAAACGAGATTTTTATTCACTTACAGACCGCATTGGCGTATCAGCTTCAACGCAGAGTGCGCACCCTGCGCGAACAAATACAAAGGAAGGACCTTCATTTGGATCTGTTGCGCAGAAAGCTGTCGCTTCAAGAGGATAGCGCGAAAATGAAGTGCATCCTGCAGAATGAGAGAGATGAGGCCAATGCCCGGGTGAAGAAGTTAGTGAAGCAAGTGGATCGACTTCAGATGCAACTGTCGGAATACAAGAATCAAATACGAGATTTGAATTCGCAGCTAGCCGAAGCTGCTGATTATAAGGTGCGTTGTCGGTCTCTCCCACAAACGTCCAACCAAAAGCTATCGAATAGGTCATTAGAATGGTTGATACATAAACAAAACCCTTAAAACAATAATAAATTAACGACGAAACTGTGGTTTAAAATTACCATTAATTATGATTTAAAAGACTAAAAAGACTTAATGAAACGGAGTACTTTCACACAAAAAAACACACATTTTAAGAAGTAATTTCTTGAACAGTACCAAAATTTTGAATTGTGTCAATATGACCTCCAAAGTAATGAATATTGAAGGTTGTGGCTATCAATACGGCACATTTTTAATAACGGGTTTTGCCTCCATGCGGCCGAATAATTTACTGCTTTTTCTTAACATGTCTAACAACAGCTGGCAGATCTCTCCTTGGGGGGCAAACTTCCATTTCTCGAACGGAGCTTGTTGTAATTCATTTCATTGATTCAAAAGAACATGAGCCCTGCTTTTTAATTAGAAGAAGAACAGTTTTTCTAATGTGCTCGACAGCAGCCTTTGTGTCTTCGTGAAAATTCCACCTCACATCATAGTAGCTTTCCTTAATTTTTTTCTACAAGGAAAAAGAGTTTTCCCCAATATACCGTTAATCTCACCACTATAAAACATAAATATCATCTTTTCCATGCGGAACTACACGAAGAACTCCTAGACCGCGATAAACTTCTGCACCATTATGAATGAGGTAATAAAGGCCGATCCAAATGTGTATGCTAAGGAACGTGCAAGACAATATACGAAAAGGACTCAACATGTACATTAATAGAAGTAGAATAAAAAACATCTAACAAAAAAGATTGGAATTTATCTCAGCTTTAAAAAAGTGTCCATTTTAAATGTCATTAATAAAAGAAAAATCCTTTCATAACCTCAAAGATAATTTCCAGCATTTTCTCTTGGCTGATTTACTTACTTATTAACTTACTTATTTAGACCTCTTTTACGCCTATACTCAGACCCCCGGAATACTACTGTTGATACTGTTATATCGTGGTCTCACCCATATTGAATCTCCTCCCTATGAATTTTCATCATTCTAATTTGATCATAAACTTTCAGATAACAGCTCTGGAGCGGGGCCGCAAAATCGAAGAACTCCAAAATCGTCTCATCGAATCGGAAACGCTCAGAACCAAGTACAACCGCAAGGTGACAATTCTGAAAGACCAGATCCGATCGACCAGCAACACGATCGAGCAAGAGAGAAACATCAGCGAACATTCGTTGCAACTGTTGCGAGACGAGCTGGCCAGAGTCAAAGACAGTTTGTCCAACGCGCAGAGACGCGAGTCGCAGTTGCAGAGCTTCAAGCATTCCGTGGCCAAAATTCTGGGCGTGGCGTTACCGATGCCAGATTATGAACTCATATCGCGGCTTCAAAAGCTGGTCGATGCCCACCACGACTTCACACTGGTATCGAGACGGTACGACGATCCGGTGCTGCGTTTGACCGCCCGGAGTCCCACCGGAGGAAGTAGGTGTACTAGGACTCCGGATAGATCTCGTTATGACGATTCAGGATACACGGATGCCGCTGATTTGGATGATATAGATGACGATTTGTTTAAACGACAGTCGCGGCCTATATGAACCGATAACAACGAATTCCTTTCGTGATGTGGTCGATTTCTTAAACATAACTACGTACTGTGACATGTTTGTAGCATTCGGCGCATTCGGAATGCGGAATATTTCATTCATTAATTTCAGTTTAACATTTTTTTTACAATTAATTACAGTATACTGTTACATATTTGATAATTTCGTACTATCGTTTTTCTGCATTCGGCATTAGAAACTTTTATTCAATTTAATTAGAGAGTTTTACATTTAAATTTTTGATGATTTTCTTGTACCGCTTTTCTGCATTCGATATTAGAAATACTTAATAAATTTAATTACAATGTTGTTCTTCATTTTTACAATTAATCACACTGTTAGTATTTTGGCGATTTCTTTCTATATCTATATCTATATGAGTTATATCATTTTTTTACAATTAATTACCACTTGGAACGGGGCCGCAAATTTTGAATTAATTTTTTTTATATATAAATCAAACACCACTTATTGTAATATTTTTACTGATTCCCATCTATCGTTTTTCTATATTCCAGATGAAATATATTTAATGACTTTAATTTCAGTTTTATTCTTTTTTTACAATTATTCATCGCTTAATGTAACATTTTTGATTTTCCTTCAACCCTCAAATAAAGGTATTCAATTCAAATTAAAATTTTTGATTTTGGACATATCGCTTTCAATTATTGTTCCTCCGCCATGGCTATAGTGGATTGGGGTTTACTTTCAAATTATGAAAAACTTTACTGTAAATATTTTAAAAACCTTTCAAAATAAGTTAAACAAATCTTATGTTTTGAAAAACAGGAAAATCTATCCGGGAAATACAAAATTTAATAGGTATGACAACATATGAAAAAACAACGATTACATCTCTAATTTTTGTTCTGGGAAAATAAAGTTCTTTCCTTTTTACGAGTTTGTTGAGTATTGGTGAAGGCACAACAAAAGCCAATTTAACCAACCAAGAAAGAACGAAATGAAAGAAATGAATTTAGTTCAATGATAGCGGCTAAAGCATTCGTTGGGCCACTCTCTAGTCCATGAGGTTTTATTCTTCTAGACCTTCTTGAAATAGACTTTACAGTTTGTCTCAAGAAAACCCAGAAACTTATTGTGAGTAGCCACAATAAATGAGGCACAGCGATCTATAAATGAACCAAAGGTTTGATTTAGCAAATCTCTCGAAAGTATGACTTCGAAAGCCACTTAAGAGTTATGCGCAAATGAGCGATAACAATTTTTTTATTGATGACTTTCAACGTATATAAATACCGAGTATTACAAACCCAGTTTTTCGCAATACCCTTGAGTATTCATTTTGAAAAACATGATAACAGGTTTGTTGCTTGCGTTTCTCCTCGCCTCTGCTACTTCACGAGAGGTCCAAACTAATGACCTCAATGATATTTTTGATGCGGTGTGGGATATCTTGAACGCGCTGAGAATGACGATCAAGCTACCGGATGATGCAGGCTTAAACATAGTGAGTATATTTAGCGATATAAAATAAATGCTAATAATATTATAAGATTCCAAAAAAATGGACACTAAAATTTACGATACCATAGTATAAATCTAAAATAACAATAATTAATGATTAAAAAAGAAATTAATAGTATAGAGACTCAAATACACTGCAAAATACTGCGTGAAAGAGTATTCTTTGCTGCTACTGTTTAAGAACTGGAAGGATATTTTAATAAGGCGAGGATCATTTGTGAGCACACCAGCTGTAAATAGATATTCAAAAAGACAACAAAAACAGGAAATGTGGAAGATATTTCAAACTCAATTTAAATGAAATCAACAAACAAGGTGACAAGAAACGTTGTTTTATCTCTAATTAAGTGTTTGTTGAAAAATTGACGCATTTTATCTACACTGATTAACAGCCAATTATAAATGGCATATTTCAAGTAGCCACTTCCCAAGCAATCTCAAATTTTACACTGTTGGCCAACGAAAGCATGGGACTTTTTGAGAGTAACTTCCTTGAATGTGGTTGATAGTATCTAACATTAGGTTTGTAATATCTTAATTATAAGCAGCTACATGAGATTAAATTTACAAAATGATGATATGTATAAAAGCGGACATTTCGAAAATTCTCAAATATCTAGGATGTCGAATGTTTAACAATATAAGCTCACATTCACCAAAAGCGTTATGTCTGCCACTATTGTGAGTAACGGTTTTTTAGCTATATGGTGTCGATATTGCTATATAAATAAATTGGTTACCACAATAACGCTATATGATGAAATGTACTGAACTATATTTATATACCGAATTGGCGAGTTCACGACAGGTCGGTGTAACAGATAACAAATATGCAGCTATAATTATATTAACGAATTATAAACATAACCCATAACCATACTAGTAGTGGCATCTCCTAGATCTTTGAATCAACTGACCGAATGGTGCAAAAATGTGAATATCATCATAAACTGCAGTCATCGTCAATAAAGCAAACCCGTTAAACTGATCTTTTCGGTTTGATTACTGTTAAAACTGACAAAACTGTTCAAGGCACCATAGTTAATAGTAACTATTTTGCTGCCAAAATACTGACTCTTCCGATACAATTAAAATTCTTGCATTCTTGCATCAATTCTTCTAGCAAAGAAAAATCCAAGAATCACTACAAATCTTTAAACAAACAAACAATCTTAACCGCGGCTCCCAATATAGTAACCGATTATCCGAGACAATGTTCATGATGCTCTTTTTTCAACTCCGCCCCCGCAAACAATATATAACTATTTACAAATCTTTTGCATTCCTTGTGCGTCTGTTTTTAATAAATCCAACTTGCTGACGTTTCGCCAGTCATCCCGTTGGCTCCTTCATAGCTTAACTGACATGCTTATATATTGTTTAAAGGGGGCGGAACTAAAGTATGAACATTGTCTCGAATGACTGATTCCCATATTCCCGAAAGATGAAAACGTGAGTTGCGGTTAAGTTGGTATAAGAAGTGCAAAACTTCCGCAAGTTTGCTATATAACTGTATAACTTGCTATATAGCTGTAGATAAAACTTGGTAAAACACAAAACACTGTAAGCTAAGTAAAGGCTTCTGTAAAAAAAAAACCCTCAAAAATGGTGTTTTGTGCAAAAGTTATTTGAATTACATCTTGATGTTATGGACGTGGTGGTAAACTTTGGACAAACCAAATCAATTCTTTATTAGCTGGAGTAACCCTAACCCTCGTTCTTATGGTGCAGTGTTTGTATTCAGGCGGACGGCTTGTGAGGTTTTACTAGGAACATAAATTTGAAATAATGAAGACATGGTTTAAGTTGCTTAAACGATGCTTCTCTTCAAGACTGTCATCATATTCGAATGGTACAAAATCAACTTGATTTGATAACGATTTAGGTGATGTTCTCGTCCCATTTCAGACATAAAATGACATAACATGTTCTAAACCTACACTAACCAAAACTTGGAGTGTCTATCAAACACAAATAAGTAAGTAAGCAAGAGTATCATTGATAAAATAGCTTAGAATTACTCAAAAGTACAACAAAAATGAGTGCATAAACAGGGAAATTAGGAGACATATAAAACAAGCAAAAAAACTATGGGTATAGCAATCCCGTCAAGAGATAGAATAGTTGCACACGAATCATGACACTCAGAACTTCCATAAAACACTAATATCTCCGATGGACTCTTGCAAATTGAGGTTCACAGAAAAATGATCATATTTATAAATAAAAGGTAATTTGAAAGGTAATTTGGGTATAATTTGATCTAGGACATGAATTTGACTACATCAATCCAAAAATTTTGCAATGTGTCAATAATTATAAAGCCCGATTGTTTCTTGAAATGTGCCATATTAACAAAAACAAAGATTCAATTAATTACAAGTCTGATACACAACAAATAAGCAATATATACTGTAACATTTTTCAGTTAAACCACAGATAATGTAATGTTCGGCCACCGAGTAGCGTATTCGCGTTGCGTTGTTGATCCACGGAGTAGGTTATTTTGATGCCCTTTTTTTGTCATTATTTAGATCGATTGTTTTTTTTTTTTTTTGTTTTTTTTTTCGCTACCCCCGTTAGCGCAACTTTTGCCTACCATTATTAAGAATTGTATACTAAGTGTTTATCCGTTTGTTTCATTATGTCGCTTCGTTCATTTACCTTAACTGTAAAGTATGGTTTTTGAGAAACTATGTGGTAGACTCTAATTTTGTAAGTATTTCTCACGATTGTTTTAATTGTCTGTTATATAGTTTGACCTGTTGTTTTCATTAAATTTTAGTTCACTCCTGAAGAAGTCAACAAATAAATTGACGAAATATTGAGTGTTAAAGAAAAAAGGAGCTTTCTATTTTAACCACGAACCGCTACCCGATATCCTTTGAATTCAAATAAGTTTTGTACGGTCGATATAAGAAGAAATTCCAAGTGTTATATATATATATATATATATATATATATATATATATATATATATATATATATATATATATATATATATATATATATATATATATATATATATATTACATATACATATTTGATAAAGACACGGTGTTGTCGAAACAATCGTCATGTGAAAGAAAAAGAAAGAAAAGCAATTATTTACTTTAAACTTTCTTTTCTGGAACAAATAATTGGTTTTTGCTGTTGACTTCGAGCAGATTATAGTCAAAAACCTGCATTTTCCGCATCAAAACTGCAGATATCAGCTCAAACTAACATTTTTTATCCAACCAGTTACCTTTTGTTGTCAATATGTCTCAAATATTAGTCAAAATTGGCGTCTCATAGTAACGAAAACCTTTATAAACCATTAGATATCGGTATAAAAACCCCTTTCTGAGTCAAATAGTTGCCAATTTTGAAAAGATCGCTCTCAGAATCTGCTTTTTCGCCCCGTTTGGGACAAATAAATGGTTTTCGCTCTTGTCTTGATTTCGAGTAGATTATAGTCAAGTCAAAACCTGCATTTTCATAACTTACCGGACTCAAATCTACATTAAAATTGCAGATAACTACTTAAAAATCCACTTTTTTGGATTAATAGTACGTTTTTCTTCCATTTTTCAAGCAGATTTTAGTCAAAATCGGCTCCTCCGGTATATATCGTACCTAAAACCGCATCAAAACTGCAAATATCAGTTTAAACTATCATTTTTTGATACAAACATATATGTAACAGAAGCGTACGCTGACATTCAAAAGACAAAGTAACAAAAGCGTGCCCTTTTATGCGTTGATTGAGAGGCCCTCTTATGCGTAAGCATTCTGACTTCTTTGAAATTATGCCCAAGTTTAAGGAGTCAAATGTGCAAGAAAAATTGAAAAATACTCCAATCAGTATCTTCGAGCTTATCATAAATATCATTGTTGGAGCAGTTGGTCGATAATTCTGTATAAGCTTTGAATACTATTTTTTAAACATATCAGTCCGAAACTTCCAATTCTTAGATCAGAAGTCAAAAGGACAAATTCTTTAACCAATGAAGATGGCATACATAATTGACAAAGTAAATTGATGATTGTTTCGACAACATCGTGTCTTTATCAAATATTTTTAGAAATTTTTATATATTTATATTATATTCGCGAATATAATAAAGTCTCAATTAATAGATAACAACAAACACCAAGAAATTTCTCAAATCTTACTAGCAAAAACTATCAAAAACAAAATTTTCCAATGTATCAAATACGATACTACTGAGTTATATTAAAGACAAGTCAAGGAAGTAATTAGTAACTTCACACTATTTAGTGACAAAGACAAGTACTTTTTAACAATTATGAATTCACACGAATCAACAAAACAACTGTACCAAAATAGACTAGCACAAAAAATAGAAGACAACCATGTATACGCAGAAGAAGATATAAATACCAGCTGGAAGAAAATAGAGGAAAATATGGAAACTGCTGCAAAAGAAGCGTTAGGTACCCGTATAGTCACATTGAACAATGATAGATACCCCAATAAGACACCTTGGTTTCTTCAAGAAGTGAAAAATATATGTAAGGAAAAACGAAAAGTGTACGTAGCCTACAGATCACTGAAGACACCGGAATCTCATGAGCGTTACAAACAGAAACGAAACGAAACCAAAGCACAAAACTACAACAAGATTTTTATAGCATACATAAACAGACATGGCGGGTAATAAGACAACAACGGAAAGAAATAGCAGAACTCTACGAAAGCACCTTAATCCCTGAACATAAATGGAACAGTACCTGACGGAGCTGTTCGGAGGAATACCTAGCGATAGAGGAACAAAAATATCCTAAACACCTGCAGAATACCAGACCCATGGAGAACTAGCACAATGATACTTATGTTCAAGAAAGGAGATAAGCAGGAGCTGAGCAATTACAGGGACATAAACCTTCTAGATACAACACTCAAACTCGCCACAAAACTTATTACCAACAAAATCAATGGTCTTACGTTGCTACAAGATGAACAACAAGGATTTAGAAGAGAACGCTCGTGCGTGGATGCAGTTTTTATCTTAAGACAGATAACAGAGAAATCCATAGAATATAACAAACCAGCCTACATTGATCTCACAAAGGCATTTGATCGTGTTCAACTTGAAGATGTAACACATTTATTGTATAACAGAAATATACCCATAAGTATTGTCCAGACGATAGAAAATATATACTTGAACAAAAACATCCAAGCCCGTATTAATAAAAAGTTAACTAAACCTATCCAGGCCAACAACGGTATCAGACAGGGATACTCTCTTAGTCTGTTGTTATTTAATATAATTATGGATGAAGTGATAAAAAAAGTTCGTTTGGGTAGAGGGTACAGAATAGGTAAAGATGAAGTGACAAATATCTGCTATACAGACGATGCAATGATATGCGCAGAGAACGAAGACGATCTGCAGAGACTTTTAAACATCTTCAACCGCACAGGCAAGCAATTTAACATGACTACCTCAGCCAAAAAAACGAAATGTATGACCACATCAAAAGAGCCGCTCAGATGTAAACTGGAAGTGGACAGGCAAGTAATTCAACAAGAAATGGAGTTTAAATATCTGGGTATTGACATTACCAGTTATGGAAATGTGGAGGACGAAGTGAGGCCACAGGTAGAAAAAGCCAATAAAGTGGCAGGCTGCTTAAACGATGTAATTTGGCGAAACAAACATCTGAAAAAAACATACAAAAGTACGAGTCTACAAAACAACGATCAGACCGATCATGACCTACACGGCAGAAACAAGATCAGATACCGCAAAAACTTCTTCTGGAGACTACGGAAATGAAGATTCTCCGCCGCATCTTAGGAAAAACACTGCTAGACAGAGAAAGAAACGACAACATCGCAATAGTGCGGAGTGGACAACGTGAACGACTGGGTGCTCCAAAGAAAAAGACAGTGGAATGACCATATTAACCGTATGCAAGATCGCAGATTAGTAAAAATCGTTAGAGACAAATCACCAGACGGAACACGGAGCGTGGGACGACCGAGAAAAAGATGGAACGACGATTTCAATCCAGGTTGAGAGGCGACCGATGAAGGAACAGGCCATAGGCCTACTATACAAGAAAGATGAACAAGAAGATGAATTTACAACTGCCGAAATATTCTTTAGTTAAATTACATAAACAAGATATGCCCATTAGACCAGCCGTGCCTTATGTAACAGCTCCAGCAATTAAACTCTCAACAAAATTAGTAAATATGTTACAGTTGCACACGGATTTTAAACCAAAATTTGCAATAAAAAATTCTTTTGAATTAATCAACAAAATTCCATCTAACGCAACACTATTGTCCTTTGTTGCACAAAATTTATTTCCCAACATTCCACATATGGATGTGATAGATTTAGTAGATTTCACCCTCATTCGGAAACAAGTTAACCCATTGGTGAAACAACATTTATTAGATTGCTTAATAGTATCTTTAGATCAAAATTATTTTGAACTTAATGGACAGATTTACCTCTCTAAGGAAGGTTTGATTATGGGAAACCCACTTAGTCCTTTGTTAGCCGAGATTTTTATGGATAATTTGGAAAATATCATACTAGAATATCCTTTAAGTAAAAGTTTTCTATGATGGTATAGATACATGGATGATGTCTTTGCTTGCTTTGTTGGAACGAACAGACAATTGAATTCTTTTTTAAATTACATTAACTCATTACATAATCGTATAAAATTCACTATCGAGATTGAACATTATAACTTTATTAATGCGGATCTTGTCCTAAAATTTATATTGGACAAACAGGTAGATCCTTCAAGAAACGCATTAACCAACATAAAAGAGCGTTTAAAAACAATAGTCTAGATTCAAATTATGCTACACACTTAAACACAGAAAAACACATTTTTGACCACAATTTTGATATTTTACATACATCCACAAAAAGTAGAAAATTTAATTTATTGGAAGCCATGGTGATTAACAAAATGAGACACTCAAATGTATTGCTTAACGATCAATTAGATTTAAATACCTCTACATTATTAAACTTAAATTCTCACATGTGTTATCGAAACAATTGTCATGTGAAATAATTTCGTGAAAATCTGAAAATCGTGAATTAGCTTTTATTTATTTTGTTAAATGGATTTTCATCAAGTTAAAACCACCTCAGTTCAATACATGATTGGCTTGAATCCTTTTTTATTGTTTTGCTCAAGACAATCATGTTCAATGGATAAGCCTGTCTGGAGGATATCCAGGCACTTCTCAACGCAATGCAAAAGATAAGTAAAACCTGAGGCCTTCAAATAAATGTTTGCATGGCATAATGGATGATAGCAAGGAGAATAAACGCCGGACAAGCGTTACATGTTAGACCTCTTGAAAGAGTTAACCATGTTAAATATCGAGGCAGCTGAATCAAAGGAAAGTGAAGAAATGATGTTGCAGGAATCCTTGAACGGATCGCCTTTTCTCACAAGCCATTCACATCTTTAAAGCCTATTTTAAGCTACAGAAACCTCTATATGCATGTTCAAAAAAGATTCCTCAAATGCTGTATCTAATGGACGTTGCTTTATTGCAGTGAATCCTGGTATCTTAAAAGCTTTAATTATAAACAAGTTAGAAGCATTCGAATTATGGTGTTATAGCCGAATGTTTAGGATATTCTGTGTTACCAATACTGAAAACGATGTCGTTCTTACCATTACGACCATAAAAGCAATACATAATAATAATTACGGGACTTAAAAGTTTGCCTTATCATCCCAGGTGTGATGATCGCCAACATCTAGCTCTCAGTAAATGAATCCATTTCATACTTTATAACACAATAATAGAAAAAGTGGAAGCCGTTGAATTTTTGAGATCACCCTCATTCTCCTTCTCATCTTAGATGAAACTGTGATTTTACAGACTCAGTTACTAACCAAATACAACTATCCGGTTGAAGAACACACAGTAGTCACAGAAGATGAATACACTCTATCCTTGTTCCGGATACCGACCGGTAGAGCCGATACCAACAACTTATCCAAGCCTCCCGTGTTCCTCATGCACGGTCTGCTGTCATCTGCGACGGATTTTTGTAACATGGGACCCAAAAAATCCCTCGCAATGATACTCGCAGATGCTGGGTTTGACGTATGGCTCGGTAATAGCAGAGGGAATAAACTGTCCAGAAAGCACGTAACTTTGGATCCGGATAGAAATTCGTCTTATTGGGATTTTAGGTAATAAAAAATGCCATCGTTGCGGGTTCTATGCTAAAATACGACCTTTAGTTTCCATGAAAAAGGAATCTACGACTTGCCAGCTTCAATCGACTACGTACTGAACGTCACCGGGCTTCCGTCATTGTCGTATATCGGGCACTCTGAAGGAACGACCGACTTTTTCGCAATGGGTTCTGAAAAGCCAGAATATAATTCCAAAATCGACATCGCCATTGCGTTAGCTCCGATAGCTTATATGGAGAACGTGACTAGTCCTTTAGTGCGATTAATGGTAGATTATATGACAACATTGAAGGTAAGTGGATTTGGCATAAGTGCCGACAGTGCAATACAGGGTGTTATTAGGTTTATGACTTAAAATCTTAACGAGAAGTATAAAAGACATGGAATTTTCATAGATTTAGGGAGGACTTTTGAAACTGTTAACCACTCTATACTACTTCCAAAATTGAGGAATTTTGGTGTTAGAGGAAAAGTGCAGGAAAATGATATTAAAAGAACATAATATAACAGGTGAAAATAAATGGTAAATTGAGTAAACAGTGGACACTGAAGGCGTGGTCCTTGGCCCTGTGCTATTTTTACTTTACCTGAATGACCTAAGGGACGTATTATCTGGTAACGACTGTGTATATGCTTGGCTGATAACAGTGTTATGTTAACCAAAGCAAAATCATTATGGAAAGAAGTTCATGAGCTGTCGAAAGAATATTAATCTATTGGATGAGCCAAAATCGCTTAACACTAATAATTAACATTAATAATTAATAATTGTTAACTGTATGGGACAGCACACGCGAAAGTTTAAATAACAACATTGAAATCTTGCAGAAATGCATAGAAAAAATTATTTATAAAAAGCCGAAAATGTACTCGACTAAACTGTTATTTATAGAACAGAGATTTATAACTGCAAATTTATGTAAGTAGTATTATTAGGCTTATGAAACAACACCTAACACTTTGTCTCATAATGTAACAAAATTGTAAATTCATAATGACAATAATGAATATTACAATAAAAACAAAAAAACCTTCTTACTGAGTTGTGTTTTGCAACTATTTCTAAGTCTAATCAAAGAACAATATCAAAAATCAAATCACAAGCTGTTGGGGCTGATGTAGTCCATTTAATCTGCTCTCCAAGATTTTTATTATTCTTCTTAGGCAGCCATTTCCCCCTAAAAAAATTGGCGATGCAACTAGTTAAAATGGTGCATGGGAATGCACACCTAAATAGTTCTGCAAAGGTCCTTCCAAATCATCGACGCAGATCTTCGAGCCCTCTTTTTTTGCCCTCGATTTTTCCTTCGATGACAAGCCGATGGCTGTAGTCTTGGAAAACAAACGTCAACTTCAATCTACTGGAATTTTCTCAGCTTTGTTTGTAGTGTTTCTGTTCTACTGGTTTATTGCTTTTGTGAAACTTGATAGCACGTCTCACTTCCTCATCCGTGACATTAGGACTTGTCTCATTTAAATCGTCACCTTGGGGTTTTTGGTCAGGCTGCATACCATTGAAAAGGTCTTTCACATACTCTGTCCGTTGTTTCAGTCTTTCTTTGCCCATCAGGATTATATAATCACCGCTTTGGTGAACTCTTTAAGCTGCAAGTAAACCGACTTTATGTAGAAAAATATCATTCTGGAAACATCATAGCTGTTCCATGGTATTAAGAATAGTGATGATGTTGTATGTGCAACAGACAAAACTAAAATAATAAGTTTGGTTAGTTCTCAAGTTCAGTCAAGCTTTTGACACACTCAATCATCAGCTTTTCCCTAGTTCTCAAACGCAAGCTGTCTGGTAGAATTGTATTTGAACCAAAAGAGGTAGAGGGAGATGTCCGAAAACACATATAGGGACGAAATTACTTGAGTCGCAACTTGTTCCTTCGATAGCTCAAGTCCGACTGCATTACGTTATAAATTGGTTTATTTTCGACTGTTACAGAGGATCGTAGGTCGTCACGAAACATTACGCGTAGCTTTACGGATCGTCTTTATTTTTGCAGCCGACCCTAGTCGAAAGTTCTTTTCATCTTTGTCGCCCGTTGCCGCTGCATACAGTGTTGTCGATTGACGCACTACAAATGTTATTAAATTAAAATTAATTTGTAAACATACGCCCTCTCTTGAAAAATCTCAGTTTTTCAACATAAAAGAATATTCTCAAACTATCAGAACTACAAGATTTTGGCTTCCTTTGACCAAAAACATATATTGTTACATTCAAATTTCGACGTTAAATCATATTTGCAGTAAAGACTTAAATGTGTATCTAGGTCTTATTAATTAAATCAAGAATCTCGTGCTAATTTGGAACTTTCTTTTAAATCGATCTTAATTTATGATTTTGATTGCTTTCTTCTTTTTCCCTGGGAATATAAATCAGTTGATACTTACAAATACTGCTTTCTGTCAGTTATTTTACCTTGCAAAGGGTATCATTTGCCTCTGTGTTCGGATGTTTAAATATGCAATGCTATAGCAACAGGATATCGAAAACACTCCTTTGACGTTATATTTGTTTTGATGTTGTTCAAGCTGTAATGAAATACGATAGAATCAACAATTATTCTCGAAGCTTCACTGGCAGCTAAAATCAAAATTACTTACTGTTTGTTTTAAAATCAATCTGTGGGCAGTAAATAAAATTGACTATTATTGATCTGACCGAGAGGAGACGTCAATCAGCCGGTATGCGAACTTCTTCGTTGGTTACCGCTACGTCTAGTAGACAACCAGTAAAGTGCGTTAAGTTTCGCATTTTTGCATGAGTAATTTCACTCCCTAAATCCCGTAACTAGCTATTTATTGGCAGCCTATACTTTAATATTTCTTTGCATTCTTTTTTTTTTCTAATAATTAGATCCGAATCACGATGCCAACTAATAGCAGCGGTCGACGGTACCAACAGTCCAACTTTGGTTACCTGTAGGGTTGAACCATAAGTATCGATACCTTGACTGAGAGAATTTCCAGTGCCAACTAACTCCCTCAACATTATATGTAGTAAATCTCGACGACTGCTAGCCAAATATATCAATTTATTATAAAAATTTCCACCCTATCTATTTTGTTGTTTGGTATGCAAATCGGAAGATTTTCCGACTTCACTTTTCGTATGCCGTATGCTGCTATTTAATTTGGTCGTAGCCCGTTATCTTGCGTTTTGGGTTTGCTTTACGTTGCCTTTTGGCACTACGACCTCCCGGAAGGTGATATTCAGCTCGACAACGGTATGTTTTTTGCATTCCGTTCCTCCATTTTGTCCAGAGCATGCCGCGATTCATTACCTTGGCCATTTATTTCTGTTACTTGCATATTTTAGATTAAAGTCAAATAATTGCTTTTCGAAAAACCACCGGACCGGAAAAACCGACTGGTTTCTTGATTAGTCGGATGTAGGGTCGAGGGCCGAGGCAAGTGGAAAACAAAAATCTATATAACGGTAATTTATTTCTGTTTCCTTTCACTACATCACTCTAATTTTCGGGTTTTGTAAATAATTGGATTCATATCTGAACTAGTGTTATTAAGTACATATCCATAATAGTCATTATTAACTAGAGCTATAAGGTACGGGTTTATATCGACCCAGACTCTTCTGGACACAATATCTATCCCGAGGTCGTCTTGTACAAATTATTAACGACGACCCTGTCACTGGCCGCTTATATCAGCAGTACAGGCTACCATCCAGGTTTGATCTTCGCCCAACTTTTTTTCCTGTTCAATTATTGATATAATTAATTTATTTTGGGGAAGTCAATTCCATCCCCGGATACTATTATTGGACTTAATGTACAATTGTAAGACAACGTGACCACGAAGGCACGGTACGGTAAGTTACGGGGGTAATTTAGTAGTTTACGTAAAACATATTAAGTAATGCAATATATATTTTTTGTTATTGCTCTTTCTTTTCTTGGCGTGCCCCACAAGACCGAGCTGTCAGCTAATCTTGTGGATATATTTTTTTTTTGTTTTATCTTTTCCTTTCTCTTTTTTTATTATAAATTTCAGTAAGTAGGGTTCAGGTGTTTAGCGGAAATCCAATAACACACAGGGCGAATTCTGGTACATTCTGTCATAGACCAGTGGCGCCCAATAACCCACCCCTACTCTCCGGCTAACTTAATTTGTTTTGGTTGTCACATCTAGACATTCGTTATCACCTACTCGCTGGTTTACTGATTGATCCTTATAAACTTTTTTTATATTATTATTTGAATTTTCAAAAAAAAAACGTGGCAAATTTTATTGCGCCCACTAAAGTTAACAGGGCTATATGTAAAGGGTGTTTTTTTTTTTCAATTTATAGAACTTTACGTTGCAATAAAACAACGATGGATTATTCGATTGACATGAATTTTATTTATCCGAAAGATAATCTTGTGGCATTACATTTTAAATATGATTTCTGGCATATGAAGGCCACGGCTGGCGCGGATGTAGTCCAATCTGGACGTCCAATTTTCGAATACTTTTTCCAACATTTGTGGCCGTATATCGGCAATAACACGTCGAATGTTGTCTTCCAAATGATCAAGCGTTTGTGGCTTATCCGCGTAGACCAATGACTTTACATAGCCCCCCAGAAAGTAGTCTAGCGGTGTTAAATCACAAGATCTTGGAGGCCAATTCACAGGCCCAAAACGTGAAATTAGGCGGTTACCAAACGTGTCTTTCAATAAATCGATTGTGGCACGAGCTGTGTGACATGTTGCGTCGTCTTGTTGAAACCACATCTCCTGGTTATTCAATTCATGAAAGAGTTAGTAATCATAGCTCTACACCGATCACCATTGACTGTAACGTTCTGGTCATCATCGTTTTTGAAGAAGTACGGACCAATGATTCCACCAGCACATAAAGCGCACCAAACAGTCAGTTTTTCTGGATGTAACGGTGATTCAACATACACTTGAGGATTAGCTTCTCTCCAAATGCAGCAGTTTTGTTTGTTGTCGTAGCCATTCAACCAGCAGTGCGCTTTATCGCTAAACAAAATTCGCTTATGAAAATCGGGAACAACGGCAATCTCGTTTTGGGCCCATTCGACGATGATCGTTTGGCTTCAATTCTTGGACGAGTTGGATTTTGTAAGCACGTAAACCAAGATCCTTCCGCAAATTCTTCCATAAAGTGGATGGACACAGATCCAATTCCTGTGCTCGATGACGGATGGACTCATTCGGGTCTTCCTCAATGCTACGCTCTACAGCAGCAATAGCTTCTTCTGTACGCACCGTACGGCGTCTCTGGGGATGCGAGTTATCAATTAGAGGAAACGTGGTGCGAAAACGTTCCATGTTTAATCGAATTAACTGCGACGATTTTGTCGACGGTAAAATGGACGTAGGGCGCGATACGCATTCCGCACAGAACCATTATTTTCGAAATAAAATTGCACTATTTGCAAGCGTTGTTTAGGCGTGAGTCTATTCATGATGAATTGCCAAACCGAACTGAGAATAAATCACTTGACAGCTGTTAAACCGGCCGTCATCTTGAACAGTAATGCCAACTTAAAGTTTTATACATCGAAAAAAAAACACCCATTATATTAAAAAAAAAACAACTCGCTTGATTGTCAGTGTGTAGGAATTACTTATTGCAATTTAATATTTCGGTACATTTGGGTAAACAATTGAGTAACAATTTAAACTTTGCTTACTACCTTAAACATATTTGACTACCTTATTTATATATCTAGTATATAATATATAATACACAATAATAAATTAATTAGTAGTTATTATTCGTGACTTGACCATCCCCCGTCCCCCGGGGGAGATTTTGTGATTGCAAATTTACAGATTCCCAAGCAACCGAAAAAAAAAATTAGTTTGACCATTCTACGAGAGATGTCGCCACCCATTAAGAGCTCAGGTTTCGATCGCCAGATGTCACCCTTAATGGGGGGGGGGGTAGTTTTCGCGTTAGTGCCTTTTTGGCAATTTCGCCCCGCTAGGGGTAGTTTTTGCGTTAGTGCCTTTTTGTTTTGACGTATTTTTGCGCGAGGTGAAAAAAGCGACCGGTGTGTCGCGCGCGGTCGGGGGATTCGAACCTCGAACCCCGCGCGCTATGTTAGTCGAGCCTAGCCGAGCCTAGCCGACGACGATTTCGCGGCGGCGGCGACGATAAGAGAATTCAACTAATAAAAGGTCGTCGAGGTCGCTTAAAATATAATAATTTATTGACATCATTTTTTTTTTTGCGGAATAAATAAAATGCAACAGGGAAAAAGACGTTTAATGACACTAATATCGAACAAATTGTTTTATTAATCATATACAAAACCCCATCAGGATAGACACATATTAATAAATATATTCGAACGATATGCATATATAAATGGCATATATGGACATAAATAGATACATAAATTAAACACAAATATAAACTACAATCATCTAAAGGAATCGTAACATATTAGTTTGCCAAAAAAAATATCAGGTGGTCGATCAATCAGTGATTTTCCCGCTGTCCTTTGAACCAACTAAATTTCGATGGCCCCAAGCTAGCGTGTACTCTGAGCCGGGTATAAGATGTCGATTGTCATCCGCGTAAGACAACGCCACCTTATTTTTCAGTTCGACGTACATATCATGTAAATGTGAGCGAAACGAAGACATTTGGCGCAAGATTAGCGTGCCTTCCTCGTGGACAGCGCGCTTATAGTCGTCGAGACTAAGTTCGCGCTGGCTGACCGAGTCAGCAACGCCCTTGGCCTTTTTGGTCAACTCGTTGCCGTCCACATTTACGCAATAAGCTTTCGCTCCCGTACCCAAGAATTCCCATACTCCCGTACTCGTCCTTCATTTTACCAAGAACGGACTTGTTTACAGGAATGCCGTGTTGGTTGTTCTCCGAGTAATTAGAAGTATCGAATTTGTCCAAATTTTCTTTCATATCTTCGTAGAAATTTTCGCAAAAAATTTGGACAACGAGGCTGTCGGTATCGGTGTAGAGTAAGACGGCTTTGTCGCCGTACTTAGCCTTTAGATAGCCGTAAAAAAAGTCGCATATGAGAGTCTTGGATATGTCCAAAATGCAAAATCCGGCGTAAATAGGCTTATCATATACGACTTTAGTCCTTTCCATTTGGAGAGCGACTAGATTTTCGCTAAATATGGCGACATTTTTAAAATTAGGTCTCGCGATTAACGCTTCTGCCCCCAACCTTTTCCCAATATTTTCCCAATGGGAAACGAGCCGCACGTCCACCCTTTTGTCCACATTTTCCATCGTTTTTCCAAACACAGCGTTATTCATAAGTTTGAAAAAATCTTTTTCAAACTTATTTTTAGCTGTAATACGTATCGCCGTATTCAAGTCTATGTATTGTTTTAGCCAGGGAGATTGATCCAAAACAAGAACGCGATGGATGCGAACAAGCTTTAAACCGTTGCTTAAAGCCTGTTGCAGATTCCTATAATGCAATACATAATTACGTTTATTGTTTAAATTTGGAATAAGTTTTCTCATTTTGGTTTTCGCGATTGGCGAAACGATGGATTCCGGGCAAAAAGGCAGTTCGTTGTGTGCGTCATGCAGCACTTCCGGATAGTCCAAATCTACTTCGAAAATATAGCCCCTAGGTGAATCGTTGGGGATACGCGTAATATCTAAATTTTGAATTTTGCCCTCCTCCAACCACTCGAAGTTTCCCGTTGGGAGGTATTGTGACATGGCCGCCCCGTATAAATTGGTAGCGTCCAAGTACATGACGTAAGAGATAGGTTTGGAAGGGTCGTAATTAGGTAAAAATTTATTATTAGCCGCGGCCTTTCTCACACTACACTGACTGACTCCTCCGCGGATACCGTGCTTCAAGAAGTGTATCATGTCCACGTCGGTCAACAGGTCCAGTTCGACCTTTGTCGCCTTAAGGGCGCTCGTCCATGATAGACCCGGTGTCGTATAAAACTGACTCGGGTCCAGACCGTACGTTTTCAGACACACCTCTCTGAAGTTTTCAAAAATATCGGCTAAAAGTAAAACGTCGGATTTTAAATAAATATCTGAATATTCGCCTAAAGTTTTACATTTGAACAAATTCCACACAGTCCAGGCACGCTTGTAATCCTCCCTGGTTATGTTGCTCTTTCGCATGGAGTCATAAAAGTCCTCGTGCGATGGCAGTTTGGTTTCGTCTAATTTTGAAAAAGAATCTAGATACGTATATGGAAAAAGCCCTTCTGTCGAATAAGTTGAAATTCTTGTTCATTTTTAAAAAATTTTTTGACTTCCCGACACTGACTATCGTTCAAATTTCGACTCAATCTGTCCAAACTGGATGCCATAAATCGAAATGAATCTAAAAATCGGAGTTTTAAAAATACCCTTTTCCCTTTGCCTCCTTTCTCCGACTCAATGTTATCGACTAGGACATGTTTCGTAAAGGAAATATAACGTTCCTTGTTTTGGGCGATGACATCGATCTTTTCCCCTTCTTCAGCCATAAATTTTACAAATAAATGACTGTCGAAACCTAAATGGTGAAAAAAGACAGGGATATGCCGCGGAACTTTGAAATTCAAGTTGCAAGTGGAGTGAGCCGCACCTCGAAATTCGCCCGTCATATGACAATGATCCCTTACTTTTTCGTCCTCTGCATTAAATGGCTTCTCGCAAATGTGACAAGCCGCAGCGTTTCGAAAGCCGGTCTCTTGTTCAAACGATAGAGTGGTCATGGGCACGGAAGTTTTCATGAACTTGTTGTAGAGCGCTTTGCAGTCGCTCTCCAACCATTCAATGAAAATTTTGTGTGCGCCCCGACCTCTGTACTGTTTAAAAGTAGACTGGGAATCGTCAAAGTCACATTTGACATAGTAGGCGAAAGAGTAAGGCTCGTGAATATGAGTTTTGACGGTAAACGATTTGTCGGGATTCGGTTCGCCTTCCACCTGTAAAGGAGTCATGACTGTTTCAAAGTCCGCGGAACTTTTAATTTCTTTTCAAATTCTTCAAATTTCAGCTTATTCGCGGGAACATCTTTACCGTATTTATCCTTGCGCAATTCGGTGGTCAGAAGTTTGATGGAAATGTGAGTGCAGTCGTGTTCTTTATGACGCTTTAGTTTTTCTTCGTTATAAAAATAAACCAAACACCCATCGCATAAAAACTTTGTAGAGGACCTTTTAGTTAATTGTTTTGAAACCAACCGAGACATACTTCTTATTAAACAATAATGATTTTCTCCATAGTCATTACTAATTAATAATAGGTTTACATGTCTCTCTTTACGAGATTCAGTAAAATGCAAAGGACCAACGACCTCAACATCATTACGGACTTTGTTATAGACTCTCTCGAGGCCATAGACATTGACCGAAATTTCATTAAGTCGTTCAAAAGTGGATATGTCCTTAAGTTTAACGGGAAAATCGATACCTGTAAAATCCAGCTCGTTCTGAAATTCTACATAGTTTCTGACCCTGTTAGCGTTATTTGTCCAGTGAATTGGGTGAAGAGCAGCCAAGATCGACCACATAAAGCATTTTTCGTCCGTATTTTGCAAGTTCAAAACAGCTTTTTTGGCTTCGATTTCCTTGGGCAGGCTAACATAGGACGACGCCCTTAGGGGATTGTACTTGTTAATCCCTATTTCTAAATGGAGAAGTTCCTCCAACGCCCAGCCTGTAAAAAGAGAAAGAAATTAGTTCGGAAATATACATTTTTATGAATCATACCGCTGTCCCTTTCCTGAAAATCGGACGCTTTGGTAGCCAAGATGTCGACGAACTGGACGTATAGCTCCTCCAGATCGGTGTTTCCGCTCAGCAGCCGATATTTGGTATTGAAGGACTTGACCTCCTCTTGTTCCTTCGTCTGCAAGAGGAAGTTTCCGAATAGCTCCATACCCACTTTTACGTTGCCGTAGCGTCGGACGTTCGACTCTACCAACGTAAGGATTTTGGACCTAAGGTGGTCCAAGAAGCCCTTAACGTCGGTAGGGTTAACGGTGGACGCCAGACGGTATGTAACTATGCGGTTACGGAAGGAGGTCTGTATCATTTCTACTCCTACGCAAGTGTCCTTGCCATCTCATTGCAGGAATGGTCAAGTTACACTGCGTACAATGGCGCGTGGATGATGGTGATGATGATGATGTCGAAGCTATAAAATACAATATGAGAATTGTTTGGGATATAAAATCAAAAATCCTTACCTTCCGGTAGGTCAAGTCTCGGGCGCTTGGGTTCGTCTGCAGCAATAGGGGCGGCGGCGGGTCTTTTCGCCTTGGGAACCTCATGCTTCTCGCGTTTATGGCGTCGGAGAGCCCCCTCGGATTTGTATATCCCGCCGCAAACGTCACAAATTTGTACTGCTGCGCGACAGTCCCCGTGCCTCGCCAGGTGGTCTTTACGGCTGAACGAGCGGTTGCAATATTCGCAGGTGAACATTTTTATTTGCTGCGAGGAATACGCGTCTCACTCTCCAACTGTTCCAGATCTCTACTTGACCGTTACCTTTTTTAAGTGGTGAAACACAAACAAAAATCCAAAGAATGAAGTCTCACTATGGGTAATGAATTTAAAATTACATTCGAGAACGTTCCTTCAGAATAATTAAGATTTGTGTTGGCGAGAATTCCGCAATATAACGCGACCCGCTGATAAAATTGGTCGTAGTTAGCGACCTAACCTAACCAAACCGTCGTCATATGGGGCCGCTTCGCTTCGAAACTCGACCGTTGGTCGCGGCGTGAATGTAAATTGCAGCGCGATTGTGTGCGATGACTCAGGCGTACCGCCGCCGTCGCGTTTGACAATTGGCTGATATCATTGCCCGCCGCGTCGCCGGTGTGCGGCAGCGGATGCATGACATCATCGCTTTGCGAAATGTTTAAACTAAACTTTGGCGGGTGAGATCATCACGTCGCCTGCCTTCGCCGCAAAAAAAAAATGTTTTAAACGAGACTTTCATATTAGACCGCTTAGGAACGGCATACGTGTTTTCCTGCGATACAAGAAATGGTTTAATCGAAACGTTTGATATTCTTACCGCATGCGTTTCCTTCGACATCGAGTTTATCGTCGCATTTCCTTCGACGCGAACAAAAACGCAAAAAAAAAAAATCTCACTCCGTAATTTCATTTTGTCAGTATGTTATACTTTGCGTCACCAAAAATAATTGTTCGATCGCAATGCGAAATAAACATTCCTGTTTAAAGAAGCAAAATGGTCCATATCTGTGTCGGACCTGTCGAAACCTGTTCCGTAGAGGTTTTGGGCCTGTTTAAGGCTGTCCTAGACCCGTCCGAGAGCTGTTCCATAGATATTTTAGACCTAATTTAAATCTGACCAAAAGCGTCCTGGCTCACATTTGAAATAAAATGAAAATATTTTAACGCGATTTTATTTTTATATCAAAATACAGTTACTGAATATTTTTCATTTTTATACAATATGTCCTGGAGCCCAATTTTGGAAATATCCGATTTTTGCTTTGTATTCTTCCGCACGTAAGCGCAGTATTTGGAGATCGGCCTGAACAACTGCTATCTGAGTTTCGAGCTGCTGGATACCTTCTTCACATTGCATCAGCTGATTTTCCAAATTGTTTTTCAAATTGAACGCCTCACAAACTACCCTTTTTTCGTTGTCATCTTTGAACGCCTCGAACCATTCTCCTTGTGCTTGCGGTAGAGATTCAATTTTTATTTTCTTAACTCGTGAATTTGCAGCAGTACGCTTACGTTTTGGAATATCTGTTGGTGGCTGCGAAGGCGGTGGACCCATCAAACCATTCTCTTGCAATAAATTTAAAAAATTATCCGGCAACACAATTTGTTCCATGTCTGTCTCGGACGCTCACAAAATCAAAAATAATAGAAGAATTTTCAATTTTTATTTTCTTAACTCGTGAATTTGCAGCAGTACGCTTACGTTTTGGAATATCTGTTGGTGGCTGCGAAGGCGGTGGACCCAACAAACCATTCTCTTGCAATAAATTTAAAAAATTATCCGGCAACACAATTTGTTCCATGTCTGTCTCGGACGCTCACAAAATCAAAAATAATAGAAGAAATTTATAGGATATTCGCGGTGTCGATCCATGAATCATGTGACTTGTGCAAGCCCAACCAGCGCACGAGAACCTTATTTCCTCGTTTGCGCAACACCTTTTCGACGAGATAGACGTCAGGGTTAACGGTTTTCTGCAATTCTTCCTGGTAAAAAGCGCCCATTACAGGCTTACCCTTCATATCTTCCAACAGATAAGTTACCGGATTTGTAATCTGCACTTTTACGATTTTAAACCATTCCGTGGTCCAGTTGGGAGCATAACCTTTGCTAAACGCGTGCTTGGTCTTGCTGATTCTTACAACGTCGTCCAGTTTAAGTTTAGATGGTCCTACAATTTTCAAGTGACTGTACGCTGATTTCAGCAAACTAGGCGCGTTATCTTTGTTCACTTCTTTAGGTTTCATTCCTGTGGTCCTGTGCACGCTACTGTTATATTTTTCGACAACAGAGGATAAAACATCTATCCATTTGTAGGTGCCGTTTAACGAAAAATATCTAAATAATTTTTCCTTGAGAGTACGTACAACTCTCTCGGCTACGGCAGCTTTCACGTTGCTATTTGTACTGTAGTGATTTATGTCAAACCTACCCGTCATTTTTTTAAAATGGATATTATAAAACTCTTTGCCGAGATCAGTTTGCAGATTTTGCGGCCGGCGTCCTTCTTTGAGAATTTGGGTAAACGCTTTGGTAACTTCAACACCGGTTTTTGTTTTTAACGGTCGACACCACACGTATTTTGAAAAGCAATCGATCACGACTAGTATGAATTTAAAGTTTTTATTTTGTTTCGCATATCGGTCTAGCTGAGCCAAGCTTGCCACAAATCATCCAGCCCTCGTATTATAGTTCTGCGACGCGCGTAATTTCTGCGTGCCGGCTTGTGCAGCTCTCGGACGAGTTGTGCTTTCTCACTGCTCATTACTTTGTCGATTGCCCGTCAATTTGAATTAAACACCATTTTAAATCATTCATTAGTTGTTGTCGCTAACTGATTTATTTGGTCCAAACTCGTATTGTATTTGTTCACCCATTGTGTATATCGGTTTTGTTGTGGCAAAAGTTTATTAAGTTGGGAATTGATATCTGCCTGATAGCTCTTAAATGTCTTCTCAAGCTCTTCTATTTTTGATAAATGTTTTTCCAACTCCTTCATTGAATTATCGTATTTCTCGTTAAGGTGGTGATTAATGTGTGTACCAAATTTATTAATAGTCATGACAGCGGTTGTTACTCAAATAATTTTCTAACTCTCAGTCGTGCTTATTTTATAAGATAACTTTTCCCTCTCTTAGTTCTTCAATAATTGAAGCTATTTCGTTCTCATGTCCCGTGTGCCCCGCAGCAGTAGATGCCAATAACAGTCTTAATCTATCGACAAGCTCGTTAACATTATCCCAATAAATATAATCTGTATTTTCTTTATTTGATTTTAAAGTTAACCCCGTCTCAGTTTTGATTGTCCTATAAGGCGGAGGCACTTTAGAAAATGCGTCAGCTAGTCGTCTCACCGGGTTTTTTGTTTTTGTTATTCCTCGCTCCTGTAAATAAGGTCCAATTATATTTATATATTTATATGATGCATTTCCTTGCACTTGTTCATTAGGGTCATGGTTTCTCCGATACGCGTTTGTTCTTTTCAGTATATCCATATAATTATCTAGATCTTGCGATTTGAAACCGACCGGCACCTTCTTGAAAAGTAACTCATACAAACCCACAGTCCCAGGGTATGTAATACCTTGTACCTTCACATCTTTACCGACAATTTCCACAGCTTTTTGGGTTAAGCCCAGAAAAAATTTATCGTTTTCTATGTCATGAACGATACCATAATTATGGTCAAATATATGTTGGGTATCTTTTACGCTGTCATCAATGTATGTTCGTGGTAATTTATTAAAGTCATTCAACGATTGCTCGTAAGCGGGAGTGTCGACGTAATCCTGTATAGCTTGCTTAGTTTGTTCTAAAATATCTGACAGATTTCCCAACGTAGTATCGCTGTCCGAAAGACCCGTACTTTCAGCTACAACATTGCTTTGTTGTTGGATCGACGGAAAGAAGGTATCAAAAAATGAGGGCAATTCTGAAGGTAAGATTGGGGTTTTTCCGGTTCTTTTCTCCTTTATTTTGGTAGGCGTCGAGGTTAACACTTCATGTTTAATATTTTCTTTTTCTTCAAACGGCTCTTGTTTGATATCCGTTTTATTTATTGATGAAATTAATTGCTGCAGAGGCTGAGTTATCGGTTTATAGGTTTGTTCGAGTTGCGTCTGGGATTCACTTGCGGCTTGTTTTAGCCTTTGATATTTTTCTCTAACTGCGTTTCTTGATTTTATTAGCTCCATCGCTAGGCGTTTATCCATTTTGGGATATTATATATAAATGAAGGAATCGAAGTTTTTCCTATATCTGCCCTTATATAACCTTATCTAACTCACAATCTTTGTCAATCACAAGAAAATTATAAGGTTCGTTCCAGCAGTACAGACAGATATTTCTAAACTGTTCAAATGACATGTCCAACATACAGTGATCGTTATATATATGCTTTAAACTCATCATGTCTTGCTTGAATAAAATCAGAAGGTTGGCGTTTTCCCTGATAAGTCGCTTGAGTATAGAAGAATATCCTTGAAAAATAAAGAAACAATCGGTGTTTTTATGCCTACCGTGAGTGAAATAATCTCTAATGACACTTTGGTCGTGACAAGGAATATCATCAAATATTATAACAGAATTGGGTTTAATTTCCTGAGGAGAAACGATATTCTCATCGATCTCAAACTCAAAAAAGCCAATCTCTTGTAAAGGCTTTAGCAGTTCTCTCAAATACACGTATTTTGGCTGTTGCAGGGATTTGGAATATAAGTAAACGTTTTCAAATCTAATTCCATTAGGATGTTCGAGCAATGATAACATGACGTTGGTTTTACCCGAATTTGAGGGTCCTACAATTAGTGCCCTCTTGCAACTATCTCCAAAGAGATCGCCGTGCTTTTGAAATTCGCGGACCAAGCTTGCGTCGTGGTTTTTTACGGGTAAAGAAAAGGCTTGCTTAACAACTTTCATTTCGACTGAGGCATTAACAAGAACCTGCAAAAGTATTTATAGCATAATTCCTAAATATTTAAACAGTATTTCCAAACACTCTCATGATTGTACATCGAAACAGGGCGAAAGGTTCAGGATTGGTAAATAAACTTATCAACAAACTTCCTATCGAACTGCATATTCCTGGTTACCAATTCTGCGGACCGGGTACTCATTTACAAAAGAGAATAAATAGAGGTGATCCAGGTATAAATCCCTTAGACGCTGCTTGTAAAGGGCACGATATAGCATACTCTCAGTCTAACAATTTAACAAAGAGACACGAAGCAGACAAGATCTTAGAAGATAAAGCTTGGCAGAGGGTTAAAGCAAAGGACTCTTCGTTTGGAGAAAAAACAGCCGCTTTAGGCATAACAGGTGTAATGAAAGGAAAGCGAAAATTGGGAATGGGTGTTAAAAAAGCAAGCAAAATGAAAACGAGCAAAAAAAAGCGTATTATAAAAACACCTAATAAAATTGGTGGATTTTTACCTCTTTTACTACCGATATTGGGAGCACTTGGCGCGCTAGGCGGAGGAGCGGCAGGTATCGCGAAAGCAGTAAACGATGCTAAAGCGGCCAAAGAGCAGTTGGCAGAACAAGAACGTCATAACAGAGCCATC